GCGGGCGCATTCCACCCTTCAAGTGTTCCATGGAACAAATCCGGGCTGCTTTTTGAAAAATTCCGGAACCGCTTGCGCCAAGAATAACAGAAGCGTTTTCTGACACATTCCACAATCCAGTTGTAATTTCCGGGAGGTCCGACGGGCGCGGCTGGCTGATTCGCGCGCCGCGCCGCGCGCGATTGGGCGCGGCGCGCGCCGCGCCTTGCGCCCGCGAACGGCACTCGAAGGGGTCGCCTCGAAAACAGTGCCGCGGCAGCTGCGACTCGCGGGCTCCCCGAGAGCAACGCAGCATGCAGTTTAGAATCTCCGAGGGCGCTCCGACGCGCGAAAAAAGCACCGCGCGCGTCGCGCAAACAACCTGCGCGACGGAATGCGCTCGACCATTCGTCCCTTGAGCCCGCGCGGGAAAACAGGAATGCCCGGAAATCTTGAAAACTATCAATTTCAAAACTTCATGCCCCTCTGAAAAACCGTCGAGCTGCTCAGAACTGTCCGCAGGCAGGTGCGGCACTTCCATGCCCGACTCGAAGAGGCGATGTGGATGGCGGTGGCCGTGGGCAAGACAGAGCTCACCTCCCTCATTCGCCCTGTCCAGAGCGGCCTCGGTGGTGCCGCGCCCTGTCGGGCGAGCGCCATTGTCAATGAATTGGAGCTTCGTCCTGCGAGCCATCTTCAACCGCTCGTGCCGAGTGCGACTGCAGACGCGAGACTCCACGACCCCAAAATATGTAAATGCATGCCTTCGCTGATGCTCTGTGAAAAAATCCCAAGCTCTTTGACCCAGAAAGGTAACGTCGGAAAAAAAACAACTCACGCGCGCCCTCGACGTCAGCGGCGGCCTCGCGTGCACCAGTGACTGGCGGCGCAGCTGGCAGTGCCTGGGCTGCCTCCGCGCGGCCAGCCGTGGAGCCCCACTTGGAGCCCCCGCAGGCAGCCCTCCCCCCTGAGGGAGCGGCCTGCGTGGAGGCCTGCCCTGATGCCGCGAGCGCCTGCGCCCCCTGTGCCGCCGTCGCTTGAAACCTTGTCGGCGTGTCGGCGAAGCACCGCAGGGAGAAAACGAGGGCGATAATAATATATTGACACACCGTGCTATTCATGCGTTCTGGGGATTCCGGGATTTCTAACAACCTTCGCGCGGGGTGCACTTTGTGTCGAGCATTGTCTACTCTGGCCGGCGCCGCTGGTCGGTCGCCCATTCGCAATCGAGTGGTCGCCCGCCCGGGGCTATGTGGCACATGCTGACCCCCCTTTTCGTTGCCGAGAGCGGGGGAGGGGGGGGGGCGCGACGCCCCGTCGCCCGCCGCCGCCGCGCGCCGCGCGCCACGGCGGATTTCCAAAGGCCTAGCAAGGCAAATCACTCGCGACTCTGGGCGATTCCCCGGGGGTGAATTTGAAAAAAGGTCCGGGAACGTCTTTGAAGATGCCCAGCCTACCTTTTGAAAAATACCAGAATCGCTCTCGGGAAATCCCGTGGCCGATCTTGAGACATTCCGGAATCCATTTTGACAAATTGCGGATTTCGGAATCCTTCAGATGTCCTGCGCGGCGGGCGCATTCCACCCTTCAAATGTTCCATGGAACAAATCCGGGCTGCTTTTTGAAAAATTCTGGAACCGCTTGCGCCAAGAATAACAGAAGCGTTTTCTGACACATTCCACAATCCAGTTGTAATTTCCGGGAGGTCCGACGGGCGCGGCTGGCTGATTCGCGCGCCGCGCCGCGCGCGATTGGGCGCGGCGCGCGCCGCGCCTTGCGCCCGCGAACGGCACTCGAAGGGGTCGCCTCGAAAACAGTGCCGCGGCAGCTGCGACTCGCGGACTCCCCGAGAGCAACGCAGCATGCAGTTTAGAATCTCCGAGGGCGCTCCGACGCGCGAAAAAAACACCGCGCGCGTCGCGCAAACAACCTGCGCGACGGAATGCGCTCGACCATTCGTCCCTTGAGCCCGCGCGGAAAAACAGGAATACCTGGAAATCTTGAAAACTATCAATTTCAAAACTTCATGCTCCTCTGAAAAATCGTCGAGCTGTTCAGAACTGTCCGCAGGCAGGCGCGGCGCTTCCATGCCCGACTCGAAGAGGCGATGTGGACGGCGGTGGCCGTGGGCAAGACAGAGCTCACCTCCCTCATTCGCCCTGTCCAGAGCGGCCTCGGTGGTGCCGCGCCCTGTCGGGCGAGCGCCATTGTCAATGAATTGGAGCTTCGTCCTGCGAGCCATCTTCAACCGCTCGTGCCGAGTGCGACTGCAGACGCGAGACTCCACGACCCCAAAATATGTAAATGCATGCCTTCGCTGATGCTCTGTGAAAAAATCCCAAGCTCTTTGACCCAGAAAGGTAACGTCGGAAAAAAAACAACTCACGCGCGCCCTCGACGTCAGCGGCGGCCTCGCGTGCACCAGTGACTGGCGGCGCAGCTGGCAGTGCCTGGGCTGCCTCCGCGCGGCCAGCCGTGGAGCCCCACTTGGAGCCCCCGCAGGCAGCCCTCCCCCCTGAGGGAGCGGCCTGCGTGGAGGCCTGCCCTGATGCCGCGAGCGCCTGCGCCCCCTGTGCTGCCGTCGCTGCTGCGAGCTTGGCCGCCGAGATCTTGGCTGCCTCCGCCGCGATCTCCTCGTCTGATGGCTGGGCTGCAGCCGGCGCAGGGTAAGCAGGCGCTGCCGACTGGTCCGTCGCCATCCCGTCCTGCGCCGCTGCAGAACCACCTCCAGATCCGTCTCGCCTCTTCTTCTTGCGGTCCTGCACCACCGCCTTGATCGGCGGCGCCTCCTTGCGCCAGGACGCGAGCTCGGCGGACCTGCGCGTGAGGTTGTCCTTGGCCTCGCGCAGCTCCTTCTCGAACTTGTCCAGCTTGTTGAGCTCTGTCTGCTCGCAGTCCAGGGTCTTCAGCTCGCTGAAGAACGCCATGTCCCAGTGCAGCTTGAGGTCAGACTTGTCGCCCCTGGCCTTCGCACTGAGGTCGGGCGTCCCAGCAACGTCGCCGCCGACTGCCTTGTGCAAGGCCTGGGCTGCCACGTGCCGCTGGATCCCCGCCTCCGCTAGATACTTGGCAATTTCCTGCTCCTTGAGCTCGGCCTTGCGGAGGCCCTCTCTGCACCTCACGGCCTGGCTGACCGCCTGGTCGTGCTTGGCGCTGGCGTCACGCCAAGCTCCTGCAGCCTTCTTCACGGCGTCCTCCGCCGATGGGGTGGTTGGCTGCTGCTGCCTGGGCGCCGACGCTGCACGGGCCGCCTGTGCCGCCAAAGCCCTCTTAGCCTGGGGGTCGCTGGTGGCCGCCAGCGCCTGCGCCGGAAGAGACTCGAAGGACTGGCCCCCCCTGTCACACGCAGCACCAGCTCTGTGTCGTTCGTGTTCCCGACCTTCGGCTTGTTGTTGCTGCTCTTGGACTTGAACAACTTCACGGGTCGGTTGCATGATCGGAAATTGCATTTGCGGCTAAGTAACACATCGTTCTTTTCATGCTTGCCACATCCAGCACAAATCGACCACGCCCTCGTAGCCTGGAGCCATTTCCCCGCCTTTGTCATCGCGGCTAACTGCACCAATTTGTGCGGGAAGCGCGGTGTCCCTCAAGCCCCACGGGGAGGGACGGGGTGGACCGACTGCCCTGTGCAAAATGCGGCGCTCGGGCCAGTGGCTTGAGAGGAGGAGGAGAAGGAGGAGGAGGAGGAGGAGGAGGGGGCAGGAGGAGGAGGAGGAGGAGAGGGAGGAGGAGGAGGAGGAGGTGTCGGATGAGCATGTGGATCAGGAGGAGGAGGAGGAAAAAGAGGATGAAGAAGGAGGAAAAGGATGATGAGGATGGTCAGCAGCAGGAGCGGCAAGGAACAGGAGGAGCAGGAGGAGCAGGAGGAGCAGGAGGAGCAGCGGACGACGGAGGGAAAAGTAACGGGGCGACAACCGTGCTGTTGCGGGAGCGCCGTCTTTGACAACGGGGGCAGAGCAACAACGATCCTGAAATGTGGCCAACGCTACAGCGGCGGCGCCGCGCTTGAAGGACCGAGAACGCTCCGATCGTACCCTACTGTGGATTTGTAGGGCAGGGATGCGGGACGGGGGAGCAGGGAAGGGGAACAAGGAGGGAGGAGGAGGAGGGAGGCAGGGATGGAGAGGGGTAGGGGATGGAGAGGGGCAAAGGGGGACTTTTGCAGAATGAGCGGCGCGCCCGTAGCTCTAGGCAAAGCCACGGGCGGAAGAGCAAGGATCTCGCGGATTGGGGAACAAGCGAAAGGCAACGTAAAGGGGGGATCGGCTCGTTCCCGGGTGTTTTCGTCTGGCTCTTCCGGGCGTTTTCGTATGTTCTCGGAGTTTCCCACCTCAGGGGGCTCTCCAGCAGCTGCGCCTCGCCGAGAGCGTTGTGGTGTCCCGATCGTCCCGAACGGCCAATGGAGGCCCAAATAATGACCCGAAAACCATCCAGGGACTGGCTCAGGGGGGGAATCATCGAGCTGCAATCGGCGATATATCGCCGATAGATCGGCGATGGGCCCCCCGATAACAAATACAACCGATTCTTGGCGGGGTGGGCTATCAGGCCGCTATCGGCGATCGATGGGCGATTGGGGGTCGATGCGTCCCCCCCTGAGCCTGTCCCCCCCTTAACGATGCCCCTGACAGAGGCATCTGGACGTGGCCCCAGTCGCAACAATGGTGCTGGTCTCGCTGGTAATGCGCGGACGCGCCCGCGGCTTACCATGGGGGACGCGGGTCCTGATGAAAACGGGTCCTGGACCCTGGGGCCTACCCCCAGGACCATTTATTCATCCTGGAATGTTATCTGACAGTCCCGGGGCCAATGGAAGAACCCGAGGCCCTGAAAACTACGAAAAAACCTCAGGACCCGTTTCCCTCAGGACCCGCTTCCCCCATGGCGGGTGACTGGCGCCAGCGAGACTGGCGCCAATATCGCTGGCGCTGCGCCGGGTGAAACACAGTCGCGCCGGTCGGGCGCCGTGACGGCGGTTGAGGCGCAGGCGGCGGCGGCGCCAATGCCCGCGCTGGCATGTAAACCTCTCGTCTGGAGGAGATGGAGGTGGAGGAGGCGGAGGAGGAAGAACAGGAGGAGGAGGAGGAGCAAGAGGATGATGACGCGACGAGCGCACGAGAGGAGGACGAGGAGGAGGAGGAGCAGGAGGAGGAGGAGGAGGAGGAGGAGGAGGAGGAGGAGGAGGCAGGAGGAGGAGGCGGAGCAGGAGGAGGAGGAGGAAAAGGAGGAGGAGGAGGCGGAGGAGGATGAGGAGGAGGAGCAGGAGGAGGAGGAGGAGAGGAGGAGGAGGAGGAGGAGGAGAAACAAAGGAGGAGGAGGAGGAGGAGAGGAGGAGGAGGAGGAGGAGGAGGAGGAGGAGGAGGAGGAGGAGGAGGAGGAGGAGGAGGAGGAGGAGGAGGAGGAGGAGGAGGAGCAGGAGCAAGAGGAGCACGAGGAGGAAGAGGAGGAGGAGGACGAGGAGGAGGAGCAGGAGGAGAAGGAGGAGGGGGAAGAAGGAGGAAGAGGAGGAAGAGGAGGAGGAGGAGGAGGAGGAGGAGTGCAAGCACCCAAAGAGGAAGAGACGAGGGCAAGCGGGCAAGAAGCGAGACGAGGGCAAAGACTGTCCGCTCCTGACCGGCTACCGCACGACTACTTCCAGAGCAATGCTATGATGGCCCACGACACTTCAGCTATCGGAGCTGGGGTCGGAGCGGCGTGCTTCATTACGTAAAAGCCGTTAAAGGCGAGCACAATCCACTGAATCAGCCGCTTCAACGAGATCTCGTTAGCAGGCTCAGACGGATAGGCTGCGACGGGACCAAAGTCCCAAGTAGCACGCGCATTGTGGAGGTTGGGCGAGACGGTGGAGCAGGGGAGGCTCACGAGGGCCGAGCGGGCGAGGTAGGGGGGGAATGAATCGCGGGGAACGAACGACTTCTGCAGGCGAACGTGCATGCTATGGGTCGGCGTCCATTCACCTGCGAGTGTCTTATATGCCGTCCAACGACAGATTTTGCGGACAGGGTGCATGGCATTCGTGCGAGCGTTGCAGCGTGTGGCGAGCTCTGGGAGCGGATGCGGCTGATGGAAGCCCCAGGCTGCGATGCACTTCGCGAGCGTGACTGAGAATGGCGACGAGAAGGAGGCCCGCAGCAGTGTGAGCGCAACCGCGCGCTGCGCCTTTGGGCGGTGCGGTGGCCCAGCACTCGGGGCCTCATGGAATTCGCTGGCAGCTGCGCGGTTCGCCGCGGCCGCGGCAGCTGCAAGCAACGGATCGGCGCTGAGGAATAGTTCTCGTTCTGCACGGGGTGTGAAAGTGGCTGAGCGAGTGGCAGCGGCGACGGCTGAAATCTGAGCTGAGAGCGTGGCAGAAGGCGGGCGCCAGACAGCAACGGTACGAATATCAATTTTGCGAAATGCGACAGGCAGGGGATTGTGCAACTTAAGGAAGATGTAATGTTCACTGCTGGCGAGCTTCTGATTGGGCGGGAGGGACAGCGAGAAATAGCTGAGCACTGAAACGACTGTAGCAATGAATAGGCGAGCGGTGGCAGCACTGCCACTCTGCGTGAGCTGAAAAGATTTCGCTGCAGGCGTAGCGACAGCCCACTTGCGGGGCATCGCGGGGAGGTGCACAGCGTGTTGAGCGAGATCGCGGGGAGGCCAGTGTCGACGGCGCAGCCGCCCAGGAAGCGTTTGTCGTAGACGTGCATGCCGTTGTAGGTCTTGACGAACGAGGCGATGTGGCGAGCGGGCAGGTCCATGGCAAACACCCATGCCGAGCCGCCCACTGGGTAGCCCTGGGCCACCCCAAAATCGAGCGGGAACATGAAGTAATGAACGCCATCAGCTTGAGGGAAGCTGTTGGGAGCGAGGTCCAGCTGGCGAAAGAGGTTCATCAGTCCTTCTGGGGCACCGAGGTACTCCAGCGACGCGATGAGCCAGCCACGGCCGAGGGGCAGGTGCGCCGCCGCGAAGTCGAAGCTGTTGAAGATGAGCATGTGCTTGTCGGCCTCTGGTAGAACTCCAGCTCGTTGCATCTCGATGCCGAGGTAGACGGCGTGCTTGGAGAGATTGCGGCCCAAGACAAGAGCTTGCTGCGAGTAACAAGTCCGCTCTGCCACAGCGGTTTTGGCGAGGAAGTTGGCGGCGTCAGCGATGGCCTTGATATCAGTGTACTGGAGGACCCGCGGGAAGGTGTCCAAAGTGAGGCAATCCGTGGTGAGCTCGCCTGTGAGGATGTCGCCCTTCGGCAGGATCGCGTGGTCGGAGTCATTCAGGTCGAGGATGAGGACGGAGTTGGGACAGGGGTGCCAGATGAGGTTCTCCATCAGGTCCAGGTGCTCGCCGATGGCAAGCTGGTCGCAGCGCGGCGGGAGGACGAGCCCGTAAACGGACAGCATAGCGCGGAGCAGAGGGACACTGAAGTGCAGCTTGGCGGGCGCGCCGACGACGATGAAGGGGCGGCTGGGCATGTGCGTGACGATGCATTGCTGGGTCTCGATGTCGCGGTACGACGTGTCCGTCAACATCTTGAACTCAGCAGAGGCCGTGAGAGCGAGGAGTCCGACGACGTTGGCGGGGAACTTGGCGGCGATCACGGTGGTGGAGTGCAGGCGCCAGACGAGGCGAATGTCTTGCCGCCAGACCGCCCAATGATGGCTAGACGCGCCACGTGGCTTCCGCCGTGTCCGCGAAGAGCGACTGGAACGACGAGAGGATGGCTCCGCGCTCAAGGTCGGAAGATGGCATACTCGAACGCCTTCTCGTTCCACTCCAGGATGGTGGGGTCGGCTTGGCCCTTGACGTCGAGGCGCGCAACTGGCATGGCGTTGCAATGGATCTCGCCCTTGGCTCGGTAGGCTCTCCAAGACTTCTGCGGGTGCCGATGTTGAAGGAGCTGGAGAAGCTTCTTACATTGGATCTCGGTGCGAATCTGTTTGGGTGACTTGTCAGGGTTGAGGAAGATGTCCGTTGGTGTGCCCGAGGTGTCGACAGATGTGAAGCGCTTCCGCCTGCCTCCCGCGTCGCGAAGGGCTCGCGGGAGCGCCATGGCGCGCGGGATGGCCACATCTCGCCCTCCTTTGGCTTGAAGCACAAATCTACGAGCGGGCGCGTCTCCGTGAAGTTCGACAGAGTCTGAGCCCAGGCTGGCGGAGGCGATCCACTCCTGAAGGTCATTGAGGAGCACGTCGGGCGCGATGAGCCGCTGAGCACCGATGGTGAAGATCGCGGGGTCGATCTCGCGGTCCCAATCAGCGAGCTTGGTGAGATCCGTGATCGGCGCCTGGGCCTCAGCGAGCGCGAGGGTCTCTCGCATCTGGTCGATCTGCAGCCACATCTTCTTGTGTTCCTCGGCCTGACGATCTTGTTCTCTGCGGGCGCGGGCGACAACATCATGGGGGGTGTCGACTCGTCGTTCGGTAGCTTGAACTTGCTGTGCGAGCAGCTGGCGAAAGCTTTCGCGTGAACCATTGAGCAGGATGTTGGCTTGAGCTTGAGATGTACTAGCAGCGTGTGCAACTTGAGCTTGCATGAGATCTTGAAGAGCTTTGTCGAGATCGGGGTCCAGACTTGGTAGACGAATGGGAGTGCCCGGCATGGCAGCGTCGGCATCGGCGGGGGTTCCGACGGCGGGAGCTCCTCCATCGGCTGCTGCGCCTCCAGGGTGCCAAGGGTCAGCGGCAGCAAGAGGACCGTGACGTAGAGCTTCACCGTGAGGTTGCGGGGGTGGCATAGCCCCTTCACCAGCTTGAAATTGGCGTGCGTTGGCAGCGGCAGCAGCGCGTGTAGGAGCTGCAGCTTCTTCTTCTCCAGTGCCCATGGCGATGAGAGGTGGCTGATGGTGTGAACGAGCGGATGGGCGACATGAGCGGGCGGCATGTCCAGATGCGCGGCCCGAGCGTGGTGCCTCCTGAGTAGCGGGATCGGCGACGTCGAGCGCAAACACGGTGGGGGGCCCCGCAGCTGCTCGCCTACTTTTATCAGCACGGCCAAGGAGAGCTCGTGCAGCGCGATCTTGACCGAGACGTTCACGCTCTCGGCGGCGGGCTTTCCTTCTTCGGCTGGCAGATGGGGCGCTTCGGGGGGTAGAACGACCCTCACTGGAAGATGGCATGGCTGAGACTGATGACTGTTGATAGGCGAGCTGCTGTTCTGCTTCAGGAAGTTGATGGTGAGAGCAACGGACTCCAGGGCCTTCGCGGGGCCACCGCGCGGAGGAAGCCGTGGCTGGGGAACGGGCAAGTCGACGTCCAGCGGGCTATGGATGTGGGCGACGGCGACGCCGGACGGGCCGAAGTCCAGCTTGTGCGCGGCGACGGGAGAGGGAAGGCACGACCGCGCAATATTAGAGGCAGCCTGCAGTGCCAGCACAAAGAGCAAGGACGGGCGGCCGCAAGCCCCTGAGTGTGGGGGCAGAAAGCTTGGGTGCCAGCTCACCCCTGGTGGTGGCTGGAAACAGTTGGGATCTGGCCTCGGATCAGAGGTCTCCATGCGGCCGCAGCGCGACATGGTGACTTGAGCCAAAATGGCTACGGTAGGAGGAGGGGGAGGAGGAGGAGGAGGAGGAGGAGGAGGAGGAGCGGCCGCACCTTCCAGTTTGTCTCTGCGGCGTCGCAGCTGGGCACGCAGGGCATGAATTTCAGTGGCTAGGCACTCCGCGCCCGTTTTGTCAAAGGAAGCGCGGCGCCAGGCGCAGCGTGCGTGATGGCGCGCAGCCTATTGCAGACGCGAAATGACATTGAAGTGCGTTCACTGCCTGTTCAATTGGATGCTCTGGATTGGCATGTTTCTCTGGTGAACCGAAGCCTCGCATAGTAAGGGGGTCGGGCGAAAGGAACGAGCGGGGAAGATGCAGAAAGGTGGCTGGGGTAGTGGCCATGGGGACAAGGGTAGTCTGCGCAACCAAGCAGGCACAGCTTGCGTGGTCCAAATGGTGGCTTGTCCACCACGTTCCCGCCAGCATCTGAAAGAGGAAGCTTGAAAGCGATTGTGAGCGCCCCTGCAGGTCATCGGGAGTCGGGGGCGCGAAGCAAACATTCGGACAGGCGGCGTGCGAGCGCCTC